CCTGGCGCGCGCCGGCCGGGCCGCACCGCTGCGGGCTCCGCGCGCGCGGGCCATGTCCGCCTTCTGCCTGGGCTTGGCCGGCCGCGCTTCAGCACCCGCCGAGCCGGACAGCGCCTGCTGCATGGAGCTGCCAGCCGCGGCCGCGGACGCAGTCGGGAGTCCCGCCGCCGCCGCCCTTGTCTCCTTCCCCGGGAGTCCCGGGGAACTGGAACTGGCGTTAGAGGAGGAGCTAGCGCTGCTGGCGGCCGGGGAACGGCCGTCCGACCCCGGGGAGCATCCTTCGACAGAGCCCGGGTCTCCGGCCGAGGGGACCGGACTGCAACCGCCGCCCGCCCAGGACCGGGAGCTGCTGTCGGTGATCCGGCAGAAGGAGAAGGATCTGGTGTTGGCGGCCCGGCTGGGCAAGGCGCTGCTCGAGAGGAACCAGGACATGAGCCGGCAGTACGAACAGATGCACAAGGAGCTGACAGACAAACTGGAGGTGAGGACGTCCCTCCTGGGTTGGATGGGAGGCAGGAAAACCCAGGCACCCGCCCGCCCGGCCGGCCCTGGGCAGCTTCCGGAGCCACTCACCCACCCCACCCCATCCCACTCCACTCCACCCCTGCCTTGCTCACCCTACCTCACAGAAAACCGCGTGGAAATGCGAGTAGGATGGAGGGTTTCGGATTATCAGACCAGGGCACCCGTTGAATACACCTGACTTTCCCACCCTGCTCACAACAAATGGGCCCATGCACAGCTCCAACTGTACACAGCATCTAAAATAGAGCTTACAGCATGACTAATTTATACAGCACTGAGGTGATACCTCACATAGAGAAATGAGAAAGGGGAAGCATTTAAAATATGCTCCAGGTTTTCAGAGAAGTAGTTAATCTCTAATCAGGGTGTTAGCCTAACGCTTTCCAGTTTTGGCGTTAAGGCCTTCAGATGCCCTTGTCTTAACTTCCTGGCAGCTCAGAGTTGTGAGAAACAAGTGCCCCTAAAGGAGCTTTAAATAGCCTTCAAATATTCAGGGATTAGGAAATGTGGTTCCATTGCAGTCAGGCAAGCCTGCACTCAGCATGTGACCATTGGTAGTGGATTTAATTTGGACCTCAATATTTATGTGCATTTAAACAGTACTTCTCTGTGTTCTGGGTGTCACACATGCAATTGCATGGCCAAATGCAACCTCTGAAAACCATATGACTTCAATTATTGTTATAAATACCCCTTAAGTATCTGTAAGATTTCTGCCAAAGTCTTTCAGAGCTATGCCTATTTGTTTTCTTTCCCTTAACTAGAAAAGAGTCTTGAAAGTGGTGTGGAACACCACCATTTCAAAAAATTAGATTTAAAAAGGGGGCAGCATCTATGACAGTGGAGGCAAGCTTATCTTTTTCTGCCTGTGCATTTACTATTGTTACCCACTTTGGTTGCAACCACTTTTTAAATTATTATTATTATTAGTTACAAGAGAATAGTACAGTCCTGAATAAGATCTGAAATTGACCCTAGTCTGGTTTCATATCACTACTACTGATTGAACAGTCAGAATGTAGATTCAGAACCTTTTCTAAAATAAGATTTAAGTGTGTCTGTAGTCCAACAACATATCAAAAGTAAATCAGGGAGAAAAAAGGAAACCAGTGAGTGCCCTGTAGTTCATTTGGCCTGTTAACTAGGTCTGCCAGTTGATGAACTCCTGAGATACCTCTCTGAAAAGTGGTTTGTGAAACCTATAGGTAGACTGCCAAAAAGCAACCCAATGAATTGAATTGTTTAATTTTCACTTGAAGTAGAGGTCTAGAAATAAAAGGGTGTCTTTTTTAAAAAAGAGATTCGATTACATGACTCTATAGAAGTACTACTGCAGAGATTTATACTTGTGATTTGAAATTCCTTCAGTGAGGGACTTGATTGAAGAGACAACGGACTTGAAAGGAACATCATATCAGTCAGTTTGATTAGTGATAGATTTCAGAGTAATCCTGAGTGTGCAGTTACACACATCCTGGGTTCCATGTGGAGCCATTATACATTTCTTTAACAAAGGAAAAATTTCAGAATTCTATAACAAGAAAGGTTCTATTGTAAAAAGAATAAATTACCTTTGACTTTTTGCTCTTGATTTGATAGATGATAATAAAATACTTGAAAGCGCTTACACTGTTTTTAAAAATCTTTACTCTGTAGGTCAGCATGTGAGCTCTAGTATTAAAAGTTTATTTTAAATACCTGGAGGTTGGTTGCACAACAGTGTGAATGTACTTAACACTACTGAATTGTACACTTAAAAATGGTTAAGATGGTAAATGTTATGCTATGTACCGTAATCCACCCTTATCCAAGGGGGATGCGTTGCAAGACTCCCAGTGGATGCCTGAAACCACAGATAACACTGAACTCTATATATACTATGTTTTTTTTCTTATACATCCTTATCTGTGTTAAAGTTTAATTTCTAAATTAGGCACAGTAAGATTTTAACAATAACTAATAATAAAATAGAACATTAAGTTAAGAACTTTCACCTTTCACTTAAGTAAACGCTTTACAGCTTCTCTGGCGTATTCCAATTGCCAGCATCACTACTCTTGCACTTCGGGGCCACTATGAAGTAAAGTAAGGGTGACATGAACACAAGCACTGCAATACAGCGACAGTTGCTCTGCTAACCCAGAGGCTACCAAGTGACTATCTGGCAGGGAGCATAGTATACAGTGTGAATACACTGGACAAAGGTATGATTCACTTCCCCGGCAGGACAGAGTGGGAAGGTTCAAGATTTCATCACGCTATTCAGATGGGCACAAAATTTTAAACTTGTGAATTGTTTATTTCTGGAATTTTCCATTTACTATTTTTGGACCGTAGTTGACTGCGAGTAATTGAAACTGTAGAAAGTGAAACCGCAGATAAGGGGGGGATTGCTGTACTTTTACCACAGTTTAAAAAATAACATTTTTTTAAAGTTTGTTTTTAAAAAGCCAAGTATTAATCATTGTTGAAGCTGAGTGATGGAGGGTTCAGTTACACTGTTTCTTCTAGGTATGTTTGAAAATTATCATTAAAAATTTTTAAGGTTATTTTTTTTTAAACACATTTAAAAATACCCTGTAAAGATGCTGTCAAAAGAAAGAAGAAAAAAACACACGAAAAAATTTTTTGAAGAAATGTTAAAAAAGATATTGTCCTTAGTTCCATGTTAGTCCTTTTAGTGTTAATATGAGTGTGCAAACCTGATTAACAGGGGGCCTGTTTCATTTGATACTTGCAAAGGAATTTCCCCCACCATATATTTTTTAAGCAGCTTAGATTTTAGAAAGTCTGCTTAGACAAAATACTTTCTAAAGTTTAACACTGCCACTCTGCTATAATTTCAAGTAAATTAAACACTTAGAGGTAGAGAACCAGCTCTTACTTTTAAAAACGTTTGTAATGTTCTACAAACTGTCAGTCCTGTGGAGGCAAACACATTTTCTCACAGGTTGGTTTAAAAGATAAACACATGAGTAGATTCTGAGAGAAGGTTGGTTTGACTATTAAATAATGAGACTGGTTTTGTTTTAGTCCCACCTGCTCCCTTACTACTTCAAAATTGGCACCTTTCTAACTTCAGGACCAACAAGCCACTTTGAAGATCTTTTCTACCTATTCACTAGTTAATATTGAATACCTCTCCAGTTCTGTGTGCCAAACCCAAGACTTTTTTTTTGTCATTTAAAACATAAAGTACTTAATCTTACATTGCCCTCTTCTTAAAGGCACACTCTTTAAAGTCTTTAGTTTAAAGGTTAACAGACGTTTTTTAGTTATACATTTCTTAGGGCTAAAATGAAGATTCAAATTGATTGGAAAGACTAAGATTTTGGTCATTTTTAACATCCTTAAATTGAATATCCTGTATTTTACTCACTGAATCAGATTTTCATATGCTTAAAATTCTAAAGACATTTTAAAATTTTATTTCTTCACATCGTTAGCCCTTTTGCTTTTAAAATTTACATTTGCAGGGTCCTTAGTTTTTATTCCCAGAATATGAACTAAGTAACTTGCATTTATACACTTTTTTCTTCAGAGATTAAGTATTTAGTTTTTTTTAAAAATTGTTTTTAATGTATAAGATCCCCTTTTTTCCTAATCCAGCTGAGAATGAATTATCTCTTACTGCAGAGGTGCTCTTTCCCTCAATTATATTTTCTTCCCCCTTCCCTAGGCCAATTCTCATGTTTCTAGTGCTGTTTTTGTTGTTGTTGTTGTTTTTAAAGATTTTATTGGGGAATTGAGGGGAGGGGAACAGACAGGTAGACAAATTGCTGTTTTTGTTCTTCAGTCTAGTTGTGGAGGACATTGCTTCACTGGCACATGTTGGTATGATCATTGTCCTCTTCCCGGGTGAGGCATTCAGTCTCCGGTCATTAGTCGGCCGTTCACAGCAGCTCCCGGCAGTTCACACCGGCTGCCCGCTGCTCGGCTGCTTGGCTGCTCGGCTGCTCGGCTGCTCGGCTGCTCATGTAGCTCCGGCAGCCCACTGCAGCCCAGCTCCAGGTCGAGCTGTTGTTCATCATCTTAGCTGTAGAGGGCAGTGTCAGTGGCCCTCATGTGGGACCCGAACCCGGGCCTTGCTGCACAGAGCTGGCGCTCCCAAGCGAGCTCTTAACCAGCTGAACCACTCGGCCAGCCCTCTAGTACTGTTTTTTAAAGAGGGCAAAACAAGATGAAAACGATTACATAATGGGAGTTACAAGTAGATTTAGGGAAGTAAACCCAGGACCCTTATTGGCATTCAGTGCTTGGTTCACTTAAAAAAAATAGTACTTTTTCCTTGTATTTTTCAAGAACCATATCCTGGGGCCGGCCGGGTGGCTTGTTGGTTAAGAGTTGGCTTCGGAGCGCGGGCTCTGAGCAGCAGGACTGCCGGTTTGGATCCCACATGGGCCAGTAATGCTGCACCCTCTACAGCTAAGATGGTGAACAGTAGCTCGACCTGGAGTTGTGCTGCTGTGAGTCGCCAGCGATGGTGGGAATGCAGTGGGCTGCCGTGAGCTACTGTGAGTGGCCAGCAGCCAGCGTGAGCCGCCGTGAGCTGCCATCCACTGGCCGGCGACTGACTGCCTCAGCCGGGAAGAGTGCAATGATTACAATGCCAACACAAGCCAGTGAAGCAACGTCCTCCACAACTAGACTGAAGAACAAAAGGACAGCAACTTGTCTGTTCCCCTTCCCCGATTCCCCAATGCTGTTCCCTCCCCCAATTACCCAATTTAAAAAAAAAAAAGAACCATATCCGGGACCTACAAGAATGGTGTTGCTTTTTTGGTTCTTTGCAGAAATCCATTTCTATAAAAACCAATTTTAGATAGGCTAATGATACTAACTTTGGTTGACAGTTTTAAATAAACTTCATTTTTTTAGCATGGTTTTAGATTTACAGAAAAATTGGAAAGATGGTACAGAGAGTTTCCAATATGCCCTGTACCCAATTACCTCTATAATTAATGTCTTATATTAGTATGGTACACTTGCCATAATTAATGAACCAATACTGATATTATTAACTAAAATCCTTAGTTTGTTCAGATTTCCTTAGCCTTTACTTAATGTCTTTTTTCTTGGATTTCACCGGGAATATTACATTTAGTTTTTATATCTTAGTCTCTTCTTTACTGTAACAGTTTTTGTTTTGTTTTTTTGTTTGTTTGTTTTTTAGATGAGCCATCCTGCCACTTGTTGGCAGCTCAGCGGCAGTTCAGCTTGGGCCATGACTCGAACTGCTGTTGCTCAGAGCTTGCACTCTTGAGCGAGCTCTTAACCAACTGAGCCACTCGGTTGGCCCTTTTTGGCTTTTTTTTAAAAGATTTTTGTTGGAGAATTGAGGGAGGAGAACAGCGTTGGGGAATCGGGGAAGGGGAACAGATAAGCTGCTGTTCTTTTTGTACTTCAGTCTAGTTGTGGAGGACGTCGCTTCACTGCCCATGTTGGTGTTATCATTGCACTCTCCCCGGGTGAGGCAGTCACCTTCCGGCCATTGGACGGCCGCTCACGGCAGCTCACGAAAGTACACGCCAGCTGCCGGCCAGCCCCACTGCTGCCTACACCGTCGCCAGCGACTCATGGAAGCCCAGCTCCAGGTCGAGCTGTTGTTCACCATCTTAGCTGTAGAGGGCGCAGCGTCTCTGACTCTCATATGGGATCCGAACCGGGGCCCTGCTGCTCAGAGCTGGCGTCCCAAGCCAACTCCTGACCAACGCACCACTCGGCCAGCCCTGTAACAGTTTCTTAGACTTTTCTTGTTTTTGATGACTTTGACAGTTTTGATATTAATTTCTTTCTTTTTCTTTATTGAGGTATAATTGACATAGAACATATTAGTTTCCCGTGCAGATATTGACTTTTAAAATACCATATAACCCCAAGAAACAAGGAATATAGCATTGGGCAGAACCTCCTGACCTCCACACTTACTGATAATTCTGCCTAGAGTTTACTGGTGAATTTAGCACTTAATTGAAAATATAATACTAGGAGAAACCTTTCTTTTTTCAGAGTAGACAAAAGGCTAAATTCTGTATGTTTATTAATAGGAAAGTCTTGATTTTTTTTTCAGAGTGTTGGGAAACCTGAATTAGGAAATTTGCCACATGTCCAAAGAAGTATAAGGTCAGAATGGATTGATCAGCGCCACCTGTCCTCAGCCTCTCCCCACCAAGTGGGTTGGATTGTTTTAGTTGCTTGGTTGGGCTGTTCACTAACAGCTGTTTGCTGAATATTTTTAAGTCTCTCTGTTCTTTTACAACATAAGCCTAATTTATCTGGCCTCTCAGTAACACTGTGATTACTGAGTCCTTGCTGTTGCCTTCTGCTCAGTCTTTTTCATTTTGGAAAAACTCAGTATACCAAGAATCACAATTTTAGAATTGTGATTAGCATTTGTTTCTGCATTTCATCTTTCTGAAGTGTCTACAGTGACTAAAACATTCTCATTTTGGAAGTTTAGCCATGTGAGCGAAGCATAGATAGAGCAGAAAATTATGCTGATGAATAGAAGTAGAAGCCCCTCCTTTGTCATCCCTTTTCCCACATGCTCCGAACTGGGGCTGTATAAAGTATAACTATAATGTGACTTTTCAACAAATATACTGGACTGGCTGTATTCAAATCAGTTACTCCCTTCAAGTGATCAACTCAGGAGGGTGTACATTTATTTTAGTGAAAACTGCCTTTCCTAATGTGTGCAGAATTTTAATCTTGGATCACATTAAATTAATTTTAATTTTACCTTTTGGCACATTATTTGGACTGCTCTGTCTTGGCAAGTTTTCATCTTTTGTGGGTAACTTTGATTTTCAAACATATTCACAAGTCTACCCAGGGCAAAATAAGGGGAATAAGATGGCATGATAAAATGAGATCATCTCTTTTTTAGATCCATCTCAGGTGTAAAATAATGGGACTGATTTTCTTTTTTTCTTTTTTTTCTTTTTTTTTTTTTAACTATACACTAGCCCTTAAGGCTTTCCAAAAGAAGCATTTCAGGAAGTATTTGAAAAATGAGACCTTGGATAGAATAAGAGCATAGCTTCCCACAGCGAAGAGATGACTGAGTTCTCTGAAGAAGATTCCTATGCTCATGTTGCTTGTTGAAATAATCTGTGTTTGATATCAACCTTCAGTGCATCAGGATTTCCTATAGAACCTAAATAGGTAGGGAGAGAGAGACAGACAGACATGCATACATACTATTTAGGCCTCATCCCATTCTTAACTGAATCACGATCTTTGGAATTGGGGTTCAGGTGGTTGTATTTTAGACAGTTGTACCAGAGCTTTTCTGAGAGCACCAAAAGTTGAGGTGCTTTGACTTATATTTCATATACTCCTTGATGTACAGACTTAGCTTTTTTGTACATACTGTGCTTTCTAAGTAGAACATACTTGCCTTTGAAAAGAGGCATCCATATTTATCTCACAGAAACAAAAAGATGTTCTTATTTCCTTCAGTCCAAAAGAATCCTTTTCTATTGAGCTGCTGCTTCAAACCTCTTGTACTTTTCCTGCATACCATTTGTCCATACAACTTATTGTATAAGCCTCTCCCACTAGAATGAAAACTCTATAAAGTCAAAGACCATGTCTGTTTTGCTTATCATTGTGTACTCAGGACAGTGGCTGGCCCATAGTAGGCACTCAAGAATGAATGAATGGGGCTGGCCAAGTGGCTCAGTTGGTTAAGAGCACAAGCTCTGAGCAACAGGTTCGCCGGTTCAATTCCCACATGGGCCAGTGAGCTGTGCCCCAGCTGAGCTGCTGCTGAGCTGGTGAGTGCGTGTGCTCTTAACAACAAGGTTGCGGGTTCAACTCCCGCATGGGATGGTGCACTACAGAACCCTCTCCCTCCCAACTAGATTGAAAGCGTCAACTGGACTTAGCGCTGAGCTTGTGCCTTCCACAACTAAGATTGAAGGACAACACTTGACTTGGAGCTAATGGGTCCTGGAAAACAGTGTTCCCCTTCCCCAATTTCCCAATACTACTTCCCTCCCCAATTCCCCAATTAAAAAAAAAAATCCAAAAACAAACTCATAAAAAAATAAAGAATGAATGGATCAGAAGTAAATACGCAAGGCTAATAGGCCATGATTTAAAGTATGCCTGATCCTGAACTTGCCTTAATGATTTTGAAATATAGTGCTATATATAGCAACAAATATTTATTGAGTTGTGATTTAGAGCACTAAACAGAATCAATCCGGTTTGGCCATTTACTAGTATTGACCTTGAGCTTGTTACTTACTTAACCTGCTTATCTTTAACCTGCTTATCTTCTGTTGCCTCGTTTGTAAGAAAAGATAGTTGGTCTGAAGGCTCTCTGGAGTTCTTTGCATCTCTGAAGATTCTGTGATTCTAAGTGCCTGGCATTATGCCAGGCGTGACATGATTTCAAGAGAAGCCTTCTTAAGGAGTCATTTATGTTGTTTAAGTATATAGTTAGTTAATTAGATGACTTGCTGAGTTTCAAGTGAATTCCTAAATCTAGAACCCCGTGCCCAAGTCAAGAATAAACATAATAACATTAAGTATTTTCAATAGGAATGGCATTCTCTCTGTGAAATCAACTCCTTCCCTACTCTGGAAGAAGGGGATATGTTCATAGCTGTGAAATGGGCAACTTTTCATATGTGGCAGTGTTTTGTTGTGCTGACTGGGAAAAAGAAAAGTTAGGAGTGTGGAAAGGAAAAATGAAAGGCAGTGGAATTTTTAAACGTTTTTAAATCCTCTTCACTTTTCACCCAGCACCTAGAACAAGAGAAACACGAACTAAGAAGACGATTTGAGAATCGAGAAGGAGAGTGGGAAGGACGCGTGTCAGAGCTGGAGAGTGATGTGAAACAGCTTCAGGATGAGCTGGAGAAGCAACAAGTTCATCTACGAGAGGCAGATCGAGAAAAAACGCGGGCTGTCCAAGAATTATCAGAACAAAACCAAAGGTTATTGGATCAGCTCAGCAGGGTGAGTCTAAAGTTAAGAATTTATGGTACAAAATACTAGAAGTTGAAAGAGAGCTTCTGTATGACGTCAATCATGTATATGGTAAGAGTAGTTGTGATTTTTGTTGCCTTTGATGTGATATCAACAAGTTAAGTATTTTTCATCTACAAGAACTTTAGCTGTGCCAAACTAGAAGTCAGAAGCCAGGACCCTTGTCTATCATTAGTTAGCTTAACAATCACTTAACTTGGGAGTTCTCTCATTTTTAAAATGATAGAGGTGTACTTAATGATTGCTAACGTTCCTTACAGCTCTGAAAGTCTGTGATTCTGTTACCTAGAGAAAGTCTGTCACTGGTAAAATTCTGTTAATGTGTTTAGTTCAAATATTAAGCAGTGCCGTCTTTAAACTGAAAAGCTTAGGGAAAATTTTTAGAGCAAATCATTTTCATTGATGTTCCATTTGTGAATGTACATTCCTTCATATTATTTAAATATGAAAGAAGGTATGTGTGTCTGTATTTTAAATTTGTTCTCTTCTTTTCCACATTAAGTAAAAATTCTTTACTTGTAACTTTATAAGGTGGTATCATGGAAGTATTAATTAACCAAGGTCAAGACTTAAAATCATTGCAAAGGAGTTTGAGGGCTGAGTAGGTGGAAATCTAATTTAAATGCGAGCACATACCTTTTTAACACATGCAGGAATGCTGTTAATGCCTTGTTCTCTAAATCCACCCACTTTTGAATTAAGAGCTGGATTTATATACTATTGTACCTCAGTCCCTTTTACATATTGAAAATAGAACTAATTCTTCAGTTACCAGGGGAAGAAAGAACTTCTACTCTGATCTCATCCCTAAGCACTCATGTTCTCATGAGAGCACTGCCCTTGTCTGCCTGGTTTGTGTTTGGTGCCTGGGCCTTTGGGAAAGGCTTAGCTAGAGCAGCATGTGGTCAATTTTTGGTGCTTCCACTAATTTGATTGGCAATACTGTATGAACTTATTTCAATAGTTTGATCATGCTTGCTTCCCATGGGGTACCCTGAGACTGATCAAAACCTTCCTGTCTCCTCACAAGGGAATGTGAAGTAAGTGCTACTACTAGAGAAAGGGAGAGGAAAAAGGAGAGGTAGAGAAGGAAATAATGGAAGTTGGAGAGAGAGGAAGGGGAAAAGGAAGAGAAGGAAGGGGGTGGGGGGTGGGACTGATAACTTGGAAAACAGCTAGTTGCAGGAAATACCTGAATGTATATGAAAGGTGAGAATTCAGGTGATAGAGATGTCTAAAGATCTTGCCTGCAGGTTTCTCATCTAGGGAAGCAAGTTGCCATTTGATTGGCTGGAAAGGAAGATTGGGGCAGTTCTTCAAGAAGTCATTTATGGGGCTAGCTCAGTAACATCATTTCTGACTCAGCTGTAAAACCAGTTTCAGCAACTGGGAAGGGAATCTCTATCCTTGTAAGATTTTTTGGATTTTTGAGTCTTCATTCATTATTCATAAAAGATTAAACTAACTAGGTAGGCCTAGCCAGATTGACTTATTTGTCCAAAAATATTTTAATTCTCAGCAAGTGTTGCTTATGGAGAGTTAAAGATATGTAACAAACCAGGACAATTTAAGGAGAAATTATTTCTTGAGGGCTAAGTTCATGTTACCAAATAACTCTGCTTTTTGATCTGGTGAAAGAAAGGTGGCCAAGAAAGATGAAGGGAGAAAGCAGATATCAGCATGACATAGCAAAAGAACACAGAGCCTGGAATTTAAATGCGTGTTAAGTCCTGACTCTGCTCATTAACTGGGTGACCTTGTTTGTGCCTCACTTTCCTTATCTTTAAAATGGGGGTAAACATTTGTACCTTGTGCAAATACTGTTGACATGAAAATGAGATAACGTGTTTAGGGCAAGGAATACGTGAAAGAAAGGATTTGTTTCAGTGTTTATGGTTATTTTACTAATGCGGTGTCTATAGTTGAAATTCCTTTGCCTAATTTCTCTGTAGAAAATTCTGATAAGCTGCTCCCAAAAGAATATAGGAGGATAACATTTCCACTAGATCTAGATTCTTCTTATCCTCTCTGGCCTTGAATGTAGGCCCTTAGTGAGTTTTGTGGCTTTTTTTCCCTTTCTCTTCTTAAGCTGGACAAGCCCCTGGGGTTTCCATCAGCAGCCAGTTTAGATTGCATTTTATCATTTTATTAACTGGGTATTCAGGAAATAGAAGAGTTGAGTAGTCCTTTGAAGTGAATTAAGATTCTCCAAGGACAAGAAAACAACACACAAAAGTAATAGAAGGCCATGCTTTTCTTATAATATATATGTAATGAGTTTTTATAAACATGAAATGTATAATATCTAAAATGTAGTACAATGGTTCTGTGATGCTTTTGTCCAAAGTATTTTTAAATGTGTTTCCTTGCTGCCATGGCCTCCAAGTTTCTTTTTTTTTTTTTTTAAATGACAGTTCAATTGAGATATAATTCACAAAGCTAACATTTACTTTCTGAAAATGTACAATTCAAAAAAAGAAAATGTACATTTCAGTAGTTTTTAGTATATTTACAGAGTTGTGCAGCCATCACCACTACCTAATTATAGAACATTTACCTCCCCCAAAAAGAAACCCTGTACCCATTTTCAGTCACTCGCCCATTCCTCCTAACCTTCAACCCCATGCCCTGACTGTGGCAGCTACTAATCTATTTTCTGTCTCTATGGATTTGCCTATTAGGATATTTCATGTAAATAGAATCATACATATGTGACCCTTTGTGACTGGCTTCTTTCCCTTAGCGTAATGTTTCTCGGGTTCATCCACGTTGTATCATATTTCAGTATTTTATTTATTTTTATGGCTGAGAAATATTCCATTGTATGGCTATAACACATTTGTTTATCCATTTATTACTTGATGGACATTTGGGTTGTTTTTACTTTTTGGCTATTTTGAATAAGACTGCCATAAACATTCATGTACCAGATTTTCTGGGACCAAGCTTCTTTTTAGCTCTAAAATAGGATGCTGTGAGCATATGTATCCCGTGACCTGTATTCTCATTATGATGAAGGAAGGGATAGGTATTATTCAAATTTTATAGCTGAGAAAACTTGAACAGAAAGATACGTGACTTGATTAAGGATCTTCCAATTCAAGACTGATTAGAGTTCTTGTGCCTCAATTTTAAATTTATGAGGCAGCAATTAAAATCCCAGGCTTTAGAGCCAGACAGCCCTGGGACCAAACACCGACTCTCCTATTTACTAGCTGGGCAAACATGGGAAAGTTTTTCACCTTTTTTAACCTTAGTTTCCTCCTCTGTATAATGGAAACAATTACATTATTACTATTACCTGATAGTGTTATGAAGACTAAATGAGATCGTATATGTAAAGCTCTAACCACAATGTCTAGCACATAGTAAATGCTCAATAAATGGTAGCCATCATAATTACCAGATCCTCATCTTTTAGATGGGATTTCTGCATTTGTCAAACATCGATTCTCTAACTTGAAAGTGGAAGAATCTGAAGTGTTCCCAGCACATATCAGTGTCAAAATGAATTGTTTAGTAGTTAAATCTCTATCCAAAAATATTCATGTAAAATTGATTCTCCTGGGAGTCGAGTCAGGTTTAATTTAGGCACCTAGCATCCCCTGGACACTGCTGCCTATACCCTAGGGTTACCTTTATCCTAGTTTATTTGCTCATTTGGACAAAATGCCCTCTACATACTCTTTTAGCGTCAAAGATTCTGTGAGTATTCTCCATATACGTCAGCCTGTCAGTCTGTGTTAGGACACGACTGACAGGCCGATGTATTTGGAGAAAGTGTAACTTACTTCCTAAGTTAGAGAGTAATAGCCTAGTGGCACTGAAAGTGGGGTTGAGTAGGACTTCATAGACACTTATCCTGACTCTGTCAGAAGTGGAGAGAATACAGTGGGCCTTGCTTCCAGAAAGGAGAGGAGGGACAGGGGCCCTGCTTGTTGCCTAAGGAAAGCATGTGGGGGTTTTGTGAGAATCCTTGTGATACATAATACAGAACGTCTCACTGGCTTGACTGCAGAAACCTCCAGAACCACCAGATGATTTTCTCCCAAACACAGCCACAAAGATATCAGAGTTCTGACAAGCGTTAAACAGTCCTAAAGTAATGATTTACTAATTTAACCGACTGCAGCTTAGAACACAGTTTAGACACTGTGGAAAGTTCTTATATTCTGCCAGTACAGTAGGAAGGCAAAGCAGTGATTTCAACAATGTAGAAACAGCCTTGTTCATAATAATGACAATATCAGTAATAACAAGCTTCTTATTTAGCCTTTTTATTCTTCAGAAGCAGTTGAAATAACGATATTATTCTCCAAATGAGTCTCAGTAATGTTAGAAACTTCGGTAAGAGTTAAAAGAAGGCATTTTCTCTTTTTTTTTGTTTTTAAGATTTTTATTGGGGAATTGGGGGGATGGGAACAGCGCTGGGGAATTGGGGGAAGGGGAACAGACAAGTTGCTGTC